TTTTAGGGTTTTCTTGGCAAAAATATTGAAGTGCTTTGCCATTTCCTTCTCCAGCTCATTTTACAGATGAGGAAACTGAGGCAAACAGGGTAAAGTAATTTGCCCAGGGTCACACAGCTAGTAAGTGTCTGAGGCTGGATTGGAACTCAGGTTTTCCTGACTCCAAGCCTAGTGCTCTATCCACTGTGCCACATAGCAGTCATTACACCACCTTGCTGTTAATGATGACAAATGGACTTTTAGTTGGTGGAATAAAATAACAGGATTATAGGCTTTTCTAAGATCATAAAATAATCCTTATTAGATTTAACCACAGAGATAACTGTGTTCAGTAATCCTCTGATTATCACTTCAAGTGAGGCATAAAACAAGACACCTATGCTTTCCAGGTGTATAGATTATCTTGATTTCATGAAAGATCCTGCAAACAATACAAATGGAAGAGGGATTTTTTCTGATGTTAAGGTCTTCCACACGCCCTTGCATGAAGATGGTATTTTGTTGATTGCGTAAAGTCAAAGAAAAACTAGAGGGCCTCCTAGATGAGATCCATGGCCACTCAAAAGAGAATGGCTCATCAATTCACATAGGAAAAACCAAATGGGTAAAGAATGCATATTGCTCAGATTATGACAGGTAGTTAGAAGGATTAGCCTATTGAATGTACTCTGCACTGAACAGACCATCTGGAGTGTTGTGTCCAGTTCTGGATGCAAAATTTTAGGACAGAAATTGAGGAACTGGAGAATATCTACAGGAGAATCATAAGATTGTATATTTAGAGCTGGAAGGAACCTTTATGCTATTAACACTAATAGGCAGAGCAAGGTGGCACAGTGGATAGAGCACTGTATGTGGAAGACTCATTTTCCTGAATTCAAATCTAGCCTCAGACACTTAACAGCTGTGTGAGCCCTGAGCAAGTCACTTAACCTCTGCCTGCCTCAGTTTCCTTATCTATAAAATAAGGTTAATAATAGCACCAAACTCTCAGAGTTGTGAGGATCAAATGAAATATAAATAAATTTCTTAGCATAGTGCCTAGCACATAGTAGGTGCTCTATAAATACTAGCTATTATTATGCCTTGCAGTAGAGGAAGGGGTATGAAAATCACAAATCCTCTGAAATGCTGAAGTATAAAATAGGCTTGTTTTGAATGACAGTTTTATTTAACTTACTTATGAGTGCCTATTATATATTATTTTGTTTTCTGCATGTGAAAATCATATATGTACGGTAAAATATTATGTAGTTCATATTTTCGTGATCAAACTGCCCCCCCATTATTCTGAATTAGCTACATTTATTGCAGATGATAGATTGATGGTAGCACAGAAATAGACCCTTAATTCAGCCACACTTTCAGAGGTTAGATTTTAAAATGTATAAAACCTCCATTTGTGCATAATACTTTGGTAAGCACATAATATCATAGGATCATAGATTTAGAGCTGGAAGGCCAGTTCAATAAAGATTTATTAAACAGCTACTACTATTAAACAGCTACTACTATTAAACAGCCAGACACTGTTAAACTCTGGGGATATAAAAAAAGGTAAAAAATAGTCCCTGCTCTCAGGGAGCTCATAGTCTAATAAGCAGGGGGGTGGGGGTGGGTGACATGAAAAACAGCTAGGTACAAGCAAGCCACATACAGAATAAATTGGAAAACATCAACAAAATGAAGTCAACTAGAATTAAAGGGGACTGGAAAAGGCTTCCTGTTGAAGATGGGATTTTAGCTTGGACTTGAAAGAAGCCAGGGAAGTCAGGAAACAAGGAGGGAGAGAATTCCAGGCAGGGAGGAATACTAGGGGAAACAGTTGGTATTAGGAGATGGAGTGTCATGTTCAGGGTACAGCAAAGAGGCCACTTTGACTGGATCACAGCATGTATCTTGTGGGGAGATAAGGTATAAAAAGACTGGAAAAGTAGGGGAGGGAGACAGGTGATATGAAGGGTTCAAATACCAATCGGAGGATTTTATATTTAATCTCAGGTGATAGGGATTCTCTGGAGTTTATTGAGTAGGGTGGTGACATGGTCAGACTTTCTATTTTAGAAAGGGACTTTAGAGGTCATTAAGTTCAACCTTCTCATTTTAGAGATGAAGAAACTGAGACCCAGAGCTGTTAAGTGACTTAGTATCACACAGCCTATAACTGTCTGAGGCAAGATTCAAATTTAGGCCTTTATGACCTCAAGTAGAATGCCATATCTGCTATACATGTTGAGCTTCTCATGGACAAATGCATTGTCTTGAAGTGGTTAAGACTACTACTACTGTTGTCATTTTATATTGAATAGTAATATTTCCTTAGAAGGCCATAGGATAATATGATTCCTGGGCTTTCCAGGGCTTCAATTAAAAATTTAAATGTTAACACACAGCTTTCTTTGCATCTGTGTACATACACTTTTTTGCTCTTCTCACAAAGGTTGTCTCAAAAGTTATTATTAAATAAGTTCACTTTGGTTGATTAATAATTTATAGTTATCTTAAGTCCTACTCCCCAGTGCCTCATCATGCCATGGAGGAGGACCTGGGTTCTGGGAAGCTATGCTAGCAGAGCCCAACTTCTGACAGGTTCTACTCTTCCATAAGGGCTTCAAATAGCCCTGGTGATAGACCCTGTCAGCTTTCCAAGAACCAGCCTAGAGAAGGTATTGAGAAAGTCCTGTCACCAGTGCCCTAGCCACCAGGGGATGAATTTTTTGCTGTGGCAATGCAATTATTTTAATGATTTTCCATATATATATCCTTCCTTGAAGGAAGAAAATTTAGTAGTCATTACCTCCTGAAGGCAAAACTTCCAAAGTACTTGTAAGCCTAATCTTATCTCTACTATTTTTGTTCATTAATAAATAAGTAGTTGTCTGTATCATGAAAAATCACAGACTGTGGGTGCTATTATTTGATATTCCTCCCCCGCCCTGCCCAGCTATAGATGAAAGGAAGCTAGGCGATTCACCCTCTGTGGCCCCAAGGGAAAAGGAAATTTCATAACTTTTCCCCCCTATTCCTAAGGTTATTTTCAAACGGAAAGATTTCATAGGCGATAGCTACATGTATCTTGTGTAATGAAGAGCTGAAGTAATTATGCAGGTAAATGTTTTTTGGCAAAAGGGCTTTGATGATTGAATTAGCCACCTAATCGCCTGGGCTCTCCAATACACTTTTCATGTGAAAACCCAACCATAGGGGGAGTATATTTCTACTAATGATGGAGAAAATATTCATTTGGGGAAAATATAATCCCTCTCTAAATAAACTTCTTATATCCTGATATAATTATGGAGGAGTATTTGGGGAAATTATTTTGATTTTATTAAAATAGCATAAATTAAAGTTTTTAATTGGGCAAAATATGAAAGGATCGTAAGTATTTCTCTTATAAAAAGTTGATTTCTAAATTCCATGTCAGTTCTTAAAAGTTTATATTGTAGATTTCTGCCCTCTCCCCCCACCCAATTCCTCTTTATTAATTCTATTTTGAAGAGCAAAATACTTATATTTCTATGAACTCAACTTTTTTCTCCTGTTTCTCAAAACTACATGTTATAAGTATTAGTGATTGTCAAGAATAATGTGCATATCTTTCAACTCATTATCTTTCTCACAGACTCTTACCCTCTTCCAAACTTCCCTATTACCACTGAGGATACCATTGTCCTCCATCCAGGCTTGCAAATTTAGTGTTATCTTCAACGCCTTCCCACACACCCCATATACTCAGCTCATTGCCAGATCTTCTTGTTTCTACCTTTATATCTCTCAGATGGATTTCTCTGTCTCCACATACACAGCCACAACCATAGTTCAGGCACTTACTACCTGCCTCACCTGACCAGAATTCTCTCCCCTTTCCACCTTTTCATTCTTCTTACCTTTTGCCCCCCTCCATGCAGTCTGTGATCCAGCAGGGTAGGCCCAATTATAGTTCCTTAAATGTGACATGTCATCTCCAGCCTCCATGACATTGAACTGGTTCTTCCCTCAACCAGGAATTCCCTGACCCACCCCACCCCCCACCTTGTAGTTGCCCTTACTTCTTTTCAGACTCAGCTTAAATCCTATCTTCTGTAGGAAGCTTTTGGTGATTCCCCCAGCTTCTAAAGCCTTTCCCTCTCGAACTACCTTCCATTCTCTCTCTTTGTACATATGTTTGTGTGCATGTGTGTACGTATGTGCATATGTATATATACATATTCACATGTGTATATATACACGTGTGAGTATATATATGTATACATCTATCTGTCTATCTAGTATATACCTAGTTATTTACATGCTGTCTCCCCTATTAGAATGTAAGCTCCTTCAGGGCGGGGACTTTTTGCCTTCCTTTGTATCCCCCACGCGTAAGTACTGTTTGGCCCATAGTAAGTGCCTAATAAAGCCTTGTTTGTTGTGAATCAACCATTTTGAACACCTCACCTTTCATGTTGACACTTCTTATCCTGGAATGCTTTTGTACCAGAGAATGGGCTTACCATAAAGCCCAACAAGTAATTAGAAAGCTCCAGAATTTTAATTACCTTCATTGAATCCTGTTCAGTTCAATTATCCTATATTAAGTACCTACTTTGAATAAGACTTTGGGAGTAGAAAGACAAAAATCAAACTGATTCTGCCCTCGAGAAGCTTAATTCCACTGCTGTCCTGGAGTGCTCGTCCAAATTGTAATCAAAAATTTTTTCCTTTGAATAGAGACCTTCCTAATATTTCTTCATGTATTCCTTATCTTGTACTGATCTATGTGTATGTACAAATAGATATGTATTCATGTGTATGTGTATATATATATATATATAGACATATATATGAAGATACTCCACACAAGCTGTTTCCTCTTAGTATTTGTGAATATTACAGTATTAAGTATAAACAAAATCTAAAAGGTCAGGCTTAAATACAGTATTTGGAATCTCACTTTTGTATCACAACAAATTGAACCCTTATAGCTACCTAATGGTTCGTTTTCTTCTTTTTTACAGACTTAACCAACATAATGAATACTGAATAATAAGGGAAACCACAAGAAGGTTACATGTTTGATTGTCTCGGGTTTGATATGAATCAACACATACTCATTGTTACCATCAATAGAGTCCCAGTTTGTATGTACATTATTCACATTCCTCTCTGTTGTGTTTGCAAAAAATAAGACATTTTAGTTTTTTCTAAGGGTTATCGATTCATTTTCCCATTTGGCTGCATGAAGTTGCCCTTAACCATGGACTGATGATGGTAATGATGAAAATTTTTATGCTGAGTTGTACATTTGGATATGTTTTACCAATAGAAAGGGCAGTTGTTATCATCCTCCTCTTACCTCTACCCCACCCTCTCCACCACTAAATTAAATTCAAATCAGCATTTTTACAAAAGAGCCCAACAGCATAAAGTTTAGGAATGATATTCCCCCTTCATAACAGAATTTGGGGATTAATTCCTAGAGACATAATTGTAAATTATCACAAGACCATTCTTTGTTAATTGATTGATTGAAAATGAAAGCAAATTGTTCTTGATTCATGAGGCCATGTGCAGAACATTCAATGTTGTAAAATACTTATTCCTTATTAGAAATAGCTAGCTGAGAGCTAATACTTCTCAAAAAAAATCACATTGTTATGTACACAAATTCACTTAGTTTCTCTGTGTGACGTTAGTAAAAGTCTTTTGTGTTCCTTTAGATTAAGGCAAGGACTTTTTTTTTTCCAATACCAATATGACTTGAACTAATTACTCATGTATCAGATACCTTTCATTTTTAAGCCTGTTTATGATACAGCAGCCCTATGGGAAACCAAAACAAATCACTGACTTTAAAATACTGAAAAGGTTTAAAAAAAAAAAGGAACTTATTCTTCTCTTTTCTTTTGGAAACAGAGCTAGACTAGTTAATAATCATTCCAGAACCATTATGTGTACATTATTGTTGCAATTGTGATAATAGAAAATTTTATTTATTTTTATGCCAGCTAATATTGTGAGAACATATTTAGTCAGTTTGGTTTTTCAATCCTTGTTATGCTTGTCCTTGGAACATCTTTCCCGTATTCAAGGTTTGTAGTTGAAAAGTTTACTGTAAAAAAAAATCAAAAACAAAAAAAATGTATTGTTTTTACAGAATAAATTTATTGGAATGTGTAAGTATTGGGAGTAAGAATTGAGGTTGTAAGCAACTAAGCTAGTGTCATTTGGCTTCATACATGTAATAATGTGAGGTATTAATGTAACTCAAGTATTAAAGCAAAATATTGTTAACAAGAAGTTGACAATAGAACTAAGTGCAGGTGAGGTTTTTTGTACGTTTTCTGGGTTATAGGGTTACTAGTTTACTTACAACATATTCACACTAGTTTTGAAAATACTGAAAAAAAATGGATGCATGACCTGCATGTGTAAGATATTACCACAGCAAATGCACTCTTAGTTTCATATATCTGTCACCACACATGTGCTCTGATTGGATCCTATTTTCTTTTGGTTTTCTTATTCTGCTTAAAAGGCTGGAGGGTGGTTCTGGAGGGGTGAGGAGAGTGGTTATATAAAGAAGAGAGTTAAAGGAAGGAGAAATACCAATGGTAAATCAGGAACACAGTAGTGATGGTGGGGACTAGGAGGTATGATGTAATCATTAACCAGATACTCAAATGGAGATTCTTTACCATATATTGGTCTAGATCCTTTTTCTCATTAATAAAAAATTGGATTTCTTTACTAGACTTACATAGACACTTTAAGAATACAAAACAGAAAAGATTTCAGAGGAAGTACATAAGGAAGGTATCTCAAGTTTCTTTAAGAGCTTTTTATCACTTCCCACTTTTAATTAAGGTACATTAAAAATTAAAATCCATCAGAAATGTCACTTAATTATAGAATATGCTCACACTGAAACATAAATGTGGTATAGATAATAATTGTAATAAAAAATACAAACTTAAGAAATTTAAAAAGAAACAAAAGTGAGTACTATGGATAACTGACCATGTTTGGCAGAAATACGTGAAATGTTTGCAATAAAAACTGAAGAGATTTTCTTTTCATGAGAGACCAAAACATTTTATTTCAATTACAAATACACATTGAAATACAGTAGAAGAACTTCTCATTACAAATGGAAATGGAGACACTCCATAAAGGGAAGAAATTTAGCAGGTCCTTCTTCTGGGGGTGATTTTTCCAAACAAAAACATTAACAAAAGCATTGTAAAGAGTAGTATCTTTATAATTGAGAAAACACTGTTTAAAACAGCATTTTCTAAAAGGAAATGGTTTGCATTTCACATTGAGATTGGTATTAGAAAATACAAGCCTGATTGTTAGTTTTCTCCCCCTCAAATATATGTTTGTTATGAGGAAACTCTTTCTTCAGTGATAAATGTATACAGATCACTTTTGTTCCCATGTAGGTTTATTTCTGTGCTTCAAAGCAGTTCAGCATAGGTTCAATTTCATAATACTATTAACTGTTGATGTTTCAATAATTACATTTGTGCAAATAAAATAATGAAATAATATAATCACTGAGTAGTAGGAAATACCAAAAGTTTATTCACAAATTATTTAGAAAACATTTTTAAATCACTCAGTTTAAACATTTTTCCTAGTCAAATTAGTATTCCCTTTTCAAAAATGAACAAATTTATCTGCAAATGTTATAGTACAATTTATACATACAGTGTATGGCAATAAAATTGTGTGTATTCTAATAATACACTTTGAGGGAGAGCTTAGATCAGTATTCCAGTTATAGCAAAAGCCAATAACCTAGATATATAAAAAAAAATGTGAAGTGATTTTTACTCCTCTTTCTCATCTGTGTTTGTTTTCATGAAAAACTCTGGTTTGTAGACACATCGATAGGCCAGCAACTGAGGAAGAATTCCATAAACTATGTTTAATACTAGGAAAAACATTTTAGCCTCCTCAGGGACTCTGTAGACAAAAGGAGTTCTGGCATGAAGAGAAGCACCAATGTGGGAAAACTGAGCCTGTTGCACATAAAACAAAAATTGGTCAGCAGGAAGTTTGCTTTCAGATGAAGGCATAACTATGTAAAAATGGTTCAGTATTACTGTATACATGTGCCCTTATAAGCAGTCTTACACTCAGACATCTCACTTTATAAAGGTTCATGGTCTTTAGAATTTCACTGAATTTGGGGTCTTTCTTGATGTAACTGTCCAAATAAATTGTACCATCCTTGACACGGTTAGAGTGTGGCAGCTGTGTTTTTGAACCCATCCAATGCTCTATGCTAAACTCTACTAATGGCTTAATTATTCCCCATATTAGCATAAAATTCTTAATTAAATCACAGGTTTTGCTATGGTGTACATTCTGGAGAGACTAAGTAGGCACTTAATTGTCATTCACTGATTAAATTTTCAGTAAAGATTCCAGAAAAAGGAAAGCTAAGTAAACGGATTTTCCCCCCTACATAAATAGCTAATCAAAGATATAAGCAAGACATGCAGAGGATCCTTGTTTTGTTTTGTCTACATCTGTTACCTAGTCTTTCAAGCAACTCATTCACATTAATGAGCATATGTAGCAATTAAAATTCTTATTATATTTACTTATTTATGTTTGCAATGTAAGGAATTTGGGAGCTTGTGTTCACCCTAAGGTTGTTAAGGCAATAATTGAGGAAAACTAGTAGGAGTTCTTCCCAGTTTGGAAAATGGGAACACAGTCTATCAATTCAGGTCAAAGTATATCATTATGCCTATTAATTTGTTTTGCCAGAATGGCATGGATTATGGAATAAAAGAAAACGGAAGTGGGCTTGTCTTTGTTCTATTGTGCACTTGACACAGTGCATTTGAAATAAAAGGAAATTACTTGAACTTCCAAGATATCATTCATGAACGTGTCAGAAAAAATACATTAGAAAAATGTTTATTTTAATTAGGAAGTGAAATAATGAAATAAGAATAAGAAAAAATAGTAAGATTAGAATATCATTATTTTCTCAAAATATTTTGTTACGCTTAACTTAGTTCTACTTCAATGTTTGCATTTTTGTAACCTGAGTGAAATTCAGCATACAAAAATTCATGAAGAAATTAAATAGTAACACAATTTCAAAATCAGAACAAGGTAGGCACAGACAACACAGACAACAACATAAAGCTTGCCCTGTTAGGGCCAAAAAGTAATAGAAAAATCACTTTTAGCACAAAATTTCTTTTATTTTAAATTTCAATAAAGTAGCTTACACATAACTTACTCTATTAATATAACAAATATAACAGTATTAGCATCTGACTTTAGCACTAAAACTATCTTTGCATCTCAGTTTTCTTGTCTATAAAATGGAGGGGTTGGACTAGATGCTCTTTCAAGTTCCTGATAGCTCTAAAATTCTACAACTATGAAATGGAAAAGTAGAAATGCTTATTTATCAGCCAACATATTTATTAGTTAGCATGTGACAAATATTTTAAGGAAATAGATTTTTACTGCTAGGTTGGGGTTTTTTTGTTATTGTAACTGCTATTTTATGGAGACAAAAGTAAGTATAGCATATGATATCATGAATTAATATTAGGTTATGGTCAAAATTAGCATATTTAAATAGTGACCCTCTTCACACAATAATTTCAAAGGCACTGAGAAGCCTACTGATCTCAAATATACCTCTCTGACTTGCTGGCCAATGCCTGAAATTTAACCGTAAGAGCTACATTGAAATCCTGAGAGGGTTGACATTTTAAGCTGTTATGGTAAATATACCTCAATTTCCTAAAAGTTGGTTTTTCTAGGTGGGAGAGATCATGAGCACACTAGAGTTTCAAGGCTGGTGTCAGAGGGGGATGTTCCCCACTAAGAGTGAAAGACAAGTAAATGGTGGCGTTTCTAGAGACACCAAACTAAAATATTCAAGTTTAGTTCTTTATATCTTTATAGACATTTTTCCATCTCACAAAATAATGGAATTTGAAAAATAAAATAGTAGGCAGGTTTTGAAAGTATTGGAAATAAGAGGCAGCAGAGATATCATGCAACAGTGTTGAGATATGTAGGGAAACCTATAGAAACATTCTCTTAAGTTTTTCCCTGCACTGTTCAAATACAGCTAGTACCTCATTTTCATGAACACCAAATTCACAGCAACATACAAAACAGTTCATGTGTTTAGATTAGATTGTAAGCCATCTGGGCAGGTACTATGTCTAATGTTCTGTACAGCGCCTAGCGCATTGTTGGTGCTCAATAAATGTTAAATAATGCTTTGCAATTGTCAAAATACAAAACCATTCTAAGAAATATTTGTAATCTTTTTTATACCTAAGTTAGTATGCTTTTTCTAATTTATTTGACAGACCAAGAAGTATGAATTATGAAGTTTCTAATCATAAATTTTCTTGTTAAAACAGAGTAAGATCATGAGATCATTTTAAGCAGTCTAGTTAATTAATGCATTGTTAATGAACTGGTAACTAATAGATAAAGTCAGTGCAACCATATCCCACAATATATTGGTATCCTTCTGGAAGATCCCAAGCCATATGGCTAAAGTAAAATTAGGAATTACTTGCAGTCCCATCCCAAATCTCTGAAGGGCTACAGGAATATACAAGCCACAGACAAACTTCAGTCTTAAGTCTGGGGGGCTTTGGGGAATATTTCCTAACATTAACAGTTACAGAAATCTCTGACATACTTTAAGTCTGTAAAAGGACTCTTACAAATATGGACTCAGGCAGACATTTTAACATCCCTAACAATTACAGGCACCACATCACAGTGTAGTGCTGAATTTGGAATCAGAAGCCCTGGCTTTGGATCCTGGTTCTACCACTTTCTGCCTTGTGACACTGGCCATATTATTTAACCTCACTGAATGCATCAATTTCTTCACCTGTAAAAAGAGGGAGTTGGGTCCTCTCTAACTCTACATCTTAAGACAACAGGTTATTGTCTAGGCAGGACTTGACCTCTGGTCTTCGGCCCCCCCCCCCCAATCTTTTAGTTACTTTATAGTTTGACCTTTCTTTTCTTTTTTTTTTTTGTACACTGGATAAAAGTTTGGGAGGAAAAAATATAAATGAAGTTCTCAAAACTCTGCCTTCTTCCAATAGACAGCCTGGACCAGTGATCCTAAGAATCCACAGCTATTTCCAGACTACACAACTTGACAAGCTTTATACTGTATTTCAGTCTATAGGTCTGTCCAAAAACCACAGGCAAAAGGTGACATTACAAATTTGGGTGATCATACAGTTAATCTGATCAATACAGGGCTTGCTTCTCATTGAGAATTTAAAATCTTGTTTATCCTCAGTGAGTAGCAGATACTTCAATACATTTGAGTAGATGCACCTATTTCAGGGCCAGAAACAAGTTCCATGTATTCAGTTAAAAATCCAACTCTTGATTATTGATGTTAAAAACAAATGAACAAAAAAACCTCCAAAAACCTTGTTTTTGATTCTCCTGACCTTTTGCCCAATCCCCATTGTTAGGTCTGGTGAAAAAGAAAATCAAAAGGAAAGACTGAAATGATCACAATGCTAATGAAAAATTGGCTGATTTTTTTCCCTTCCTTTTTTAGGTGGCATGGTAGACAGAATACTGGGCCTGAAGTCAGGTAGATATGAGTTCAAATCTAGCCTTAGCTATTTACTAGCTGTGTGATCTTGGCAAGCTACTTAGCCTGCCTGCCTCAAACTTCCTCATCTGTAAAAAGGGGCTAATAATAACACTTACTTCCCAGAGTTATTGTGAGGATATAAAAATATAAAAAGTTTTCCAGATTTTAAAGCATTATATAAATGCTATCATTACTATTAATATTATTAATATCTTTAAGCTTACCAGTTCCTTATTCAAGTATTCTGTCAACTTTCAGAAGCACCATTTTACAAATAAATAAATAAATAAGATGAAGTACACTCCCCAAGTTCTTACCCTCAATTAATTTCAAATTATAGTAGCAACATCCTACGTTAACTCTGTAGGCAGTCATCCAAAATAATATTACAATACTGTTTTTAAAAAGAAATTAGATTTAAAAAAATAAATAAAAATAAAAATAAATTAGATTGTGTCTGAATAGTCAGGGAAAATTCAAAGGATTTTTATTTGGGAAGAGGGAGGAAAGGACTACATAAAATAATTAGGTTCCTGGGCCAGCTTCTGCTTTGGGTAATAAAGTTGATTTGGCCATAGGATTGGGAGGAAATTAATAAATAGTACAACTGCAGTGATGTGAAATACATGGACAGATTTAACGAGTCAACCTTAGGTACTCCACTAAAGTCACTGTACTTCTCTTTTCTAGTTTCTTTAATTTCCAAAGTAATCTTGTGCACACATTATTTTCACAGCTATCAAGTTAATTAATTGACCTCATAGGTAGAATAAGGATTTTCAGTATTTTCAAACCATATAACTAAAAATAAGACTGGTTCTTAGTCCAGATTGTGGCCAAAAGCATTGACTGCTTTTTAACAAATTTATTCAATTAAGGAAAAAATTTGAAAAGACATTTTCACTGGAAAGCAACAGAAAATATACACTTTAGCTGATTTCTTAAAAATTACATAAATACCTATAAAATGATCCATTAGTCAGTCACCAAGCAGGCTGGAATGTTTATCAACCAGATTTGGAGAAACTTCACTCCTAAAGTAAGAAAATAGCTGTTTGTTTGGAATCCACAGTTGTGAAAGTGAAAGGATTCCCTAAAATTATTGCCTAGAGTAATTTTTATCTTGGTTTAATTTTGTTGGCTCAAGTTGTTGGCTCAGGGTGGCTTTTTTCTCCTTACATTTCACAGTGATACCCTTTCTGTTACTATTTGGATATCAGTTCCCTATCCAACCCACATGTCAACCATCTGTCTGTTCTAAATTCTAAAACACAGTTGTGCAAACTTTGGCCTAGTAAAGGTTGCCCTCTGGCATCTTTCTCATGCTTTCCTTTGCTGTAAATGTTACCACCCTTTCCAGTGTCTATGCTTCAGTTATAGGGATCTAGGTCA